CCCCCCACCCCCTTTTGCCGGCTGTCACAAACAGACCCGTTCACCCACCGCCGGCCTTCCACCCCCTCGCAGCCGGGGCCAACGCTCCCGACCCGGCGCCCACGCCTACCCTTGCACTCGACCACCTCACCCTGTAAAACACAAAGCCAATGCCGGTCTCGTTCAAACGATACCGGCTAGGTGAGGGACGCAGAGAGGCAGGCGGTGGCGCAGGGGAAGGACCCGAGACGGGTGGCGGCGGGCATGGCCTGAGCCTGCGTTCCAAGCGGCTTCTTGGCCTGCGTAAGACGGCCCGACGAGTGGCAGAGAGCGCACCGAACGATGCCGAGGCGGTAGGCGCGTGCCTTGAGTTGGATCTCTCGCTAAATGATCTGACAAGTCTCGCTCCGTTAGCGGATGAGCCGTATTTTGCCCATCTGGCTGCGGTCAACGCGTCGATCAACTACCTGCCGTCGCTGGCGGCGCCAGTTATCCCGGATCTGGCGTATCTGCGGGTGCTTCGACTCGACAACAACGCCATTGACTCGATGCAGCCACTGGATGGCCGCTTCCCGCTGCTGGAGACACTGAGTCTTGCCGGGAACGCCATACCGCGGATCACCGGACTCGCCAGCGCAGTCAGCCTTACCTCGCTCGATCTCACCGCCAACGAGCTAACCGTGCTCGACTCGCTCAAGGGGTGCACAGCGCTGAAGACGCTCAAGGTCGCCGGCAACGCGATCACCGACGCCCAGCATGTCGTCTTCCTCCCGTCGCTCACCTCGCTCGACGTGGCTGACAACCAGCTTGCGGATCTCGGGGCGACCGCATCGGCCCTTCGCGGCTGTGCTTCGCTCGTCGAGCTGAGCGCCGGCGGCAACCCGCTGGCGGCAACGGCGTCGTACAAGGCTGTGTGCTTGGAGAGCGCGGCCCTGGAGCGACTCGATGGCCACGTGGTCACCCCGCTCTTCCGCGAGCGCATGTCCAACGTCGCCGCCGAGAGCAGGCTCTCCGACCTAGTGGCCGACACGACTGATGCGTACCTGCAGCGCATCGAGGAGGCGCGGGAGACCAAGGCATCCAAGCTGCGGCTGCTCAAGGCGCGGACCCTCGAGATCGAGAGCCATTTCGACGCCTACCAAACCCATCTCGAGTCGGAGATGCACTCGCTCACCCGCTACGTCCACGACGTGCTTGCCAGTGGGGGGCGGACTGACGTCGATTTGGATGAAATGCGCGCAGTGCTGGCGGTAACTGAGGCTGCGCGTTGGAAAGAGGTTCTTGGCATGCTGCAGAACGACGCCGATGCATGGGAGGCCGAGGTTGCCCGCGCCAAGGCCGCTACCTCGCACACTGATAAGCTGCGGACGCTGGCTAAGGACGATCCACGAGCGTGGCGCGAGCTCAAAGAGCGCGAGCGCGAGCTGGTTGCCCGTGAGGATGCCATTGCCGCCCGCGAGCATGCGGCTGCAGAGTCGGCGCAGACGTCGGCGGCGGCGGCGGCAGAGCGCCGCCGGGCCCAGGCCGAGTTTTCCGCTGCCCGCGGCAGCGCCTTCCAAGTTCACCGAACGCTTGACGCCGCACATCGACCGCACCACGCTGCGCTCGGCGCTGACCGCACTCGGACCATCGCGCCGCCGACCCACAGTGGGCCGCCCGACGAGGCCGCAGTGGAGGCTGCCGCCGCCTCCCGCATTCAGGGCCAGTGGCGCGCGTCGCGGGCTTCGCACGATCTAATTGATCGTGCCTCGCCGTCTCGGCGGTCGTCGTCTCGGCGGGCGTCATCGTCGCGGCGATCGTCATCGTCACGTACCTCGTCGCGAACCTCGTCGCGGCGGCTCTCGCGGACCTCGTCTCGCGGCGCCCGCTCGACTGGGCCCGGACCACCTCCCGCTATTGCCGGGTCGGTGCAGTCTGGTGATGGCCAGAGCGAGCCGCGGCAGCAACCGTCGACCGAGCAACTGCGATCGCCGTCACCAGTGCGATCGCCGTCACCAGTGCGATCGCCGTCACCAGCGCGATCGCCGTCACCAGCACAAGCGCCAGCGCCAACGCCAGCACCAGCGCCAGACGGCAAGAAGAGCCGTACTTGTGTAGTATCGTAAGACACCTGGCTCTGGTGCGGCGCGGCTCGACCTGATCGGATCGGAATTGCAAAGTGGACTGACGTAGCCACCCCACACCCGAAATGCCCTTGATGCCTCCGATGTATCGATGTGTCTATGTCAAGCTAAACACCGAAAACATGGCTCCGCGTGTGGCTCCGCATTCTCTCTGTCACCTCACTCACTTTGTCATGTCCGCCGGAGCCCGGCTTCTCCACGCGGCACGACAGCGGGACGCGCTTGCTGTGCGCAAGGTCATTGGTGAGCTGTCCAACAGTTCTGAAGTGCCTTCCATCATCAACCAACATACCGTACGTGTACAGTTGTCACCGTCCCCCTCATCGTCCCTGTGCCGCATCACATGCGGCCTTCCATGAACCCTTGTCGCTCCCGCTCGCCACGGCCAATGTTCCACGACGCGCGGGGCTCGTCAGCCATGGGTACCGCCACCACCACCACCACGCGCGTACTTGCCTCCCCTCCCCTCTCACACACACTCAAACTACTCGCACTACCCTGTGTTCTGCACTCCCAACGCATGCGAAGCAGGGCGTTTGGCCCCCCCCCCCCCCCCCCCCCCCCCTCCCGCCACTGTCTCACCCCGGAGAGCGATTGAGGCTCGATAGGATACAGGGTGGACGGCGCTGCACCACGCGGCGTACAACAATGATGTAGAGTCGATAGCGTTGTTGCTGGAGGCTGGAGCTCAACTGGAAGCTCGTGATCGTATCGGGGCGACACCGCTGTATGTGGCGTGCTTGTCGGGCCATACCGAGGCAGCAGCGGTGCTTGTCGATGCCAATGCAGAGATTGATACCCGCAAGGACGAGGGCTGGACGCCGCTGCTTGCTGCCTGCCACTACGGCTTTGCGGCAGTGGTGGGCCTCTTGCTCGAGGCTGGGGCCAATCCGGATGCACAGACCCCGCTTGGCTCGACGCCGACGTTTCTGGCGGCGCAGGAGAACCATATTGTTGTGCTCTCGCTACTTGTCGGCGTCGGCGCCTCGGTCAACTTGCTCAACAACGACGGCGTCTCGCCGTTGGTGGTGGCCGCATCCAAGGGGCATTCCCAGGTTGTTGTCCTCCTCCTCGACGGCGGCGCCGATCCAAACGTCGGCCACAAGAACGGCTGGTCCGCGCTGCTGCTGGCCGCCCACAAGGGCCACCTTTCGATTGTGCAGGATCTGGTAGCGTGTGGTGCGGACGTTGACGCGTGCAACTCGTCGGGCGCGAGTGCACTCTACGTTGCCACCCAGAATGGCGCCGCCGACATTGTGGCGGCGATCATTACTGCTGGCGCGGATCCGAACATCCCCAAAAGCGACGGGTGGTATCCGCTTCTCATTGCCGCCCACAAGGGTGCCGCGCAAGTCACCGAGGAACTTCTGAGCCATCCTGACATTGATGTGCACGTGACCAACACAGCAGCGGCTACCTCGCTGTACCTGGCCGCACAATCTGGCTCGATCGAGGTGGTGCGGATGCTGCTGGCGGCCGGTGCAAACCCCAACTCTGCCAAGGACGACGGCTGGACGCCGCTGATGATTGCAGTCCACCGGCGGCATCTCAAGGTGGCCCGCGTGCTCATCGGCAGCGGCGCCGAGGTGAACCAGCGCAACGCCAATGGAGCAACCGCGCTGTATGTGGCGGCGCAGCTCGGGTTCCTGGCCGCTGTCAACCTGCTGTTGGAGGCCCAGGCCTCGCCTTTGGCTGCCAAAGCGGTTGATGGCTGGACAGCGCTCCATGTTGCCACCACTGGCGGCTTTGAGGACGTTGTCGCCGCACTGCTTGCCGCAGGCGCCAACCCGCATGCTGCTGCCCACGATGGCGAGACACCGCTCCACATTGCCGCCATCTCACCGTCGCCGGCCATGCAGCGGCTCTTCCTTACATACACCACAGTGCCCGAGCTTCCGCACTCGGCACCACTGCCAACTCGGTCACGGTCGCGATCCAAGGCCAAGGCCAAGTCCAAGGCCAAGTCGCGGCCCAAGTCCAAGTCCAAGTTACGCTCCAAGTCGCGCTCCAAGTCTAAGACTAAGACCAAGGCCAAGGCCCGAATGAGCGGGAGCCCGAGCAGTGGCAGCCGCGAGCGGCATGACTTTGCCTCGCTCTCCTCGTCCGAAGTGTCGTTTGATGAGGCGGGCTCACTGGTGAGCCCGCAGCAGGTGCGATCGGGCTCGTCGTCGCCGCTGGGCGCTCCTCCGCCGCCGTCAAGTAGCACGCCTGAAAGCCGCGGTGAGCGGTACAGCTTGCAGCCGCCGCCGGTACCGGACTTTCTGCCCGGATCGAGCCCTGGTGCGTACGCGACGTCGCAGCCAACAACCAAGTCGTGGGAGTGCGTCAACTGCACCTTTGTCAACGCATACGTCTCGTCGTGCGAGGTGTGCGGCACTCCACAGGGCGGCGGACTCATCCCATCGGACATTCTTCAGCAGAACAAGGCGCTCGTGTCGGCACCTCCCTCGCACAGCCGGTCACGCGGCGGCGCGCGCGCGCGTGCTGCCGATGCTTCCAGCTCAGCCGATGACGCGTGTTCACAGGCAAGTGACGACGACGGCAACACGTGTCTAGTGTGCTGGGACGGGCCTAAGACTGCAGCGTTTGTCCACGGCGACACCGGGCACCTCTCGGCGTGCATGATGTGCGCACAGCAGGTTCTGCGCCGCAAAGACGTGTGCCCGGTCTGTCGCGAACCTATCGAGCGGGTGGTCGAGATCTTTAAAGTCTAAGCGCACACCATGCGAGGCGGGAGCAGGCTGCCGTGCTAGAGGCTCGCAGCAGCAGCAGCAGCGGCGAGGAGCTCGAGGTCGCGCGGCATGGTCTTGTTCGGCGTCTCCAGGATGAGAGGCACGCGGGCGACCATCGGGAGTGCCAGAAGTTCGACAAATGCATCCGCACCGATGTGGCCATGGCCGAGCTGAGCGTGACGGTCCTTGCGCGAGCCACGCGGGTGGACCGAGTCGTTGAGGTGCATGCCAGCGAGGACGCCCGCGCCGCAGACCGATTCAAACTCAGCCAAGACGCCAGCGATGTCGCCTGCAACATCGTAGCCTGCGGCGCACATGTGGGCAGTGTCGAGACAAATTCCCAGGCGCGGGGCAAGCATAGGCTCATGGGCAATGGCGCCGTGGCGGATGGCGGCGAGCTCCTCAAAGGTTGCGCCGAGGAACGAGCCGCCGCCGGCGGTCGACTCGAAGACAAGCTTAACGTGGGGAAAGGCACAGCGAGCAAGGGCATCGACGGCAGCCGCAGCAACCCTGTCGACGGCCTCGTCAAGTGGCGCACCAAGCGCTGCGCCCGGGTGTATGTTGAGGGCGCCAAAGCCGAGAGCACCGACGGCGTCGAGCTCGGCCACCAGCAGGTCGAGCGACTTTGCCCGCTTAGCCTCGTCGGGGTGGGCAATGTTGGTCAGGTACGCGCCATGGACAAGGACTCGCTCGCCATCGATGCCTTGGGCGTCTACCAAGGCCTGGCGTGCTGATCTTGCCTTTTCTTCGGTAATCTTTGGGTGCGCCCACGTCCGTGGGGAGGCGGTAAAGAGAGCCAGCGCCGTCATGCCGATGGCATCCGCCCGAGCAATGACAGCCGCATGTGATGGGCTCATCGAGAGATGCGCTCCGACCCACATATGGTCCGGAAACTCGACTCCTTTCTGCGGGCCTCCACCCATTCGCCTCTCTTCCCGGCTCCGTAACCTCGATGCGTTCGCCATCCGCACCCGCAGCTGCCGCGCCAGCTCTCGCCGACCCGCGAGCATGTGCTGGTTGAGCCGAGTGTTGTCGCGCTTGGCCAATACGTCGGCTCGGGGGAAGTAAGCCACAATTTGTCGTTTAGCTGAGCGAGTGCTCCGATCAGGTTGGGTAGAACGTTGTGCTGTTGGAGCAGAGGGTAGGGTAGGGTCGTGTGGCTGAGTGTGCAGAGACAGCTGGGACTAGGGCTGTAGGGAGGGCTGCGCAGAGGCGACCCGGCGACGCAACCGTGCACGACGACAGGTCCAGCCACGTCCGGAAAGCACGAGGCACGACGATAGGGACACCCACAGCAGATCCGAGACCACAACTCGAGAGGGGAACTCATTCAGGCATACTTGTTGGCCACCAGGTGATACATACACCCTAACCCTACCACAACCACCAGATCGAGTTGTTCTGTGGTTTCTCCCCCCCGCAAAAAGTGTGGTGTGGTGGTTGGCGGGGGAAAAGGGGAGTCCGCTTGTGTCTGCCAATTTCGCAACTCACCGCTTTCTCCCGTACTCGGCCGCGAACGCCCTCCGCCCACCCCCCGCACGCACGCTACAGGCCAAGGGCACTCACCGTCCGTAGTGTGCCACACTTGGCTCGCCCACCTTCTCCTCCTCCTCCTCCCCCCCCCCCCCCCTCACCCCTCTAACCTCACACCTTGTACACATTCCCATAGCCAAGCCAAGTGGCCATGAGCAGCCCTCCGCCACCACGGCCACCCAAACCCATGGCTGTCACTGCCCTTCTCGGCTCGTCTGTCCGTGCACGATCTGACTCGGCTCCTGTCGCCCATCTACCGCCTGCACCTACTGCAGCTCACCCGCTCACGGGCCTAGATGCGCCCGGAAGCCATCCGATCACGGCGCCCCGGCCTGTGCCTGGCGCACGCCCTGTGCCCGGTGCGCGACCAGTGCCTGGCAGCCGGCCGGATGCTGGTCTGCCCTCGCCGGGAGGAGCAAGTACGGCGGAAAGCGACCCGATTGCCATCCCGTCGCACGGCTCGTTGTACGGGGCGACTGGAGCGTGCGAAAGCCGGAGCGAGATCGCGAGCAGACTGGCGAGGTCGCCGCCGCCGCAGCGGGTGCGGTCGCTGCGGCCGCAGCTGCCGCCGCGACCCGATGCGATGAAGGGGGCCAAGCGGCGGTCGCGATCGTCGTCGCTGCCGGCGCTCATGCTTGCCAAGCAAATGGAAGAGGCACGAGCCGGGGCTGGCGGGCCGTCGCCGTTGCTGCGGGCGGCGATGGGTGGACTGCCAGACTCGTCGCTTCCGGACAACTTTACGCTGCGGCACCTGGGCGTGCAGCCGCGGCTGACGGCCGAGGACCAACCGGACATCGACCCAATTGAGGTGGTATTTGGTGAGCGGCCGATTGAGGGCGTGCTGTTCCAGCACTCGACAGGCATCAAGACGTGGAAAAAGCGGTTTGTGCGGCTCAAGGCTTCGCTGCTCCAGGTGTTTGACAAGGAGGGCGCGTCCAAGGCGCGGAGCGTGGTCGACGCCGCAGAGTTTTTGTCAAGCCCGAGGTGCAAGGCAAGTTCTCGCGCGACTCGGTCTTTACGCTCGCCACCACGTCGGAGCAGCACACATTTGCGGCGTCGACCGACATTGTGCGCGACGCGTGGGTCGCGGCCATTGCGCGGGTCTCTCGCAACTCGGCCTTTGACCGCTCACCGAGAGGAACAGGCGGACTGGGTGCAGGTACACTGGGCAGTTTGCCGGGCGCATCGCGATCGCTTTCGGCGCTCCCGGTCGAGGCTAGCAGCAGCGGCGTGTCTCCACAAGCGCCGAGCTCGCCGGCGGGCGAGAGCGTATGCTCTCCTGCGGCTTCGCCGCGGACGCAAGGTGCGACTACCGGGGACTCTTCGAACGACGGTGACGGAGTTGCGAGTGGCGAAGCGGCTTCCGGCGAGGAAGAGCTCGCGAATGCCGAGCTGGAGGCCGTGGTGCGGAGACTGATCTCTCTCACGAGCTCCGAGGCAGCGTACATCGGAAATCTCAACGCGATGATTGAGGTGTGGTTCAAGCCACTGAAGGCGACGCCGTTTCCCATTGTCACCCCGGAGCAGTTTCAGATCATGCTCTCGTGCGTGGATGTGATTGCGAACAAGTCGTCCAAGCTTGTGGCGGCGCTGGAGGCTGCAGCGGCCGATGCTGGGCTTCCTACCGACGCCGGAGCTGAGATTTCCAGCGACCGCGAGCAGCAGGAGGCATACGTCAAGGCGGCGCTGGGGCTATGGGAGGAGTACGCTTCGGCGAGCGGCCCGCAATCTCTCATTGTGCTGTATTCCAAGTACTGCATCGACCACATTCCGCTAGAGCAATGCTGGCCGAGCTAGAGGAGGACTCGATGATTTTCAAGGGCTTTATGATGGACGCACACACACACGAGCTCTGTCGGGGGATGGAGTTTTCCGAGTTGAGCCGATTCCCGCCGCGGCGGATCCGCGAGTATCCGCTGCTGCTGCGTGACGTGCTGGGGCTGGCCAAGACGAGCGGTACTGCGGCGCGGCTGCGGGCGCTGTGTGACCGGCTGCAGTACGTGTCTGCCGAGGTTCAGCGGAACGAAGCATCGGGAACACGGGCGACGCAGATCCGGTCTGCACTGACCTTTGCCAATCCACTGGACAACTTGTTGACGGACGCATCGCTGTTTGTAGTGGACGTGGACGTCAAGATCGCCGTGAACGACGGGGCCAAGTTTTCCGACGGTGCCGTGGTTGTCTTTACCGACGCCATTTTTGTATGCCTGTCAAAGCGAAAGAAGGACGGCGAGCTGGTGTGCGACGAGGCGTGTGCGGTGGCGACGTCGCGGGTGTCTGAGCTCCCGCCACGCGGCAAGGCGAAGCATCTCGTGGCGATTGCCAACAACCTGACGCAGACAACGTACATTCTGTCTGCGGGCTCGTTTGCGGACCACAGCGCGCTGCTGCGGGCGCTCAAGGAGACGATGGAGGCAAGCGCGGCCGGCCCGTCCAAGAGCGAGTGAGCTCGGGCGCGGGCCGGCGCTACTCGAGAGAATGCCAGAGGTAAACGTTGCCGTCGGCATCCGAGGTTGCGGCCTGGACATGGGCGCGGGCGCGGTCGGGCGAGGTGTTGAGAGCGAGGCGGAGGAAAGAGGCGGCAAAGTCGTCGCTGTCGCGCGGCGCCATGCTCATGCGGAGGGCGGCGTCCGGGTCGTCGAGATCGTACATGAGGAGTGAGCCGTTGGCCGACGGCACAACGCAGAGACCAAGCTCCGAGTCGAGTGCAAAGTTGGTCGATGCGAGGGCACCGTCGACGACCGGGAGTACAGCGTCGGCAATGGTACGCGGGATGACGGGCGAGGCCGCGTCGTCGGTATCGACACGTTCGGCCTCGTCGACCTCGTCGCCGAGGAGGGACCAGACGTGGACAAGGGCGTCGCGGCCAGACGAGACAACATACCCGCCTGCGGTGTCGAGTGAAACGCAGTCGACATAGTCGGCGTGGGCAGCGGCGGCTTCGAAGAGCGGCAGGTGCGGCATGCGGAGGTCGTAGACGTGGACGCCGCGGTAGCCGCCAAGGGCAAGGGTGCGGCCGTCAGGCGAGAGGTCGATGGCCCGGACGAGGTCCCACGCGGGCTCTGCGCCGGCGAGGCCGTCAGCTTCGGGCGCGATGGCGGCGACCGGATTGGCCTCCCGCCAGTCCCAAACCAGCCCGCCACCAACAGTGCCGGCCGAGGCAAAGCCGACATGCGAGGTGGCGAGCGCGTAGGTGGCCATTGGCGCATCGGCGCCGACGGCGTCCACCACTGCGCGCGAAAGCTCGTACGTCGCAACCAGGCTCCCAATCTCCATGTCGAAGAGCGAGAGCGCGCCGCCAGCGGCGTAGCCGGTGAGAATGGCGTTGTCATCGCCGACGAGGGTGGCGGCTGAGAGGCCGTCGAGCGGGCCAAACTCGGCACGGAGGCGCGGTGCGCCGCGGCTTGAAACATCCCACATGGCGAGCGTCCCGTCGAGCGCCGCGGTCATGAGCAGGAGCGGCGAGGTTGCCGCGCGGGAGTAGAGGTCGAGCGCAATGATGGTGTCGTCAGCGGCAGCAAAGGCAAACGACGGGACCCAGGCCGGGAGGGCGAGGGCGGCGTAGTCGGCCTCGGCCTCAGTCGCAGCCTCGTCGTTGGCGGCAGCAAGGGTAGCTGCGGCGTAGTCGGCCTCAGACTGACCGAGCTCCCAGGCGGCAGACTCGTACGCGGCCCCGACTTGAACAGCGGCGAGTTGGCGCCAAAAGCCAATGACTGATTGGCGCCAAAAACGAGCGAGTCGTCGGGCACGTCCTCGTCGTACAGCGACGAGTACGTCGAGCTTGCGTCGTCAATGGCGTAGTAGACCGAGGTGTGTGCGGCGGAAGGGGCGCGTGCAGCGACAGACGGTGTGTGTGCGGCGGCAGGCGAGGCCGAAGCCGCGGCCGTGTGCGCGCCGGGTGACGGCGAGGGCGAGAAAGCGACGGTGAAGGCCGACGGCTCCGGTGAGAACTTGTGCTTCGAGTCCAGCGGGAACTGCACCTCTGGCACGGCGGCATCATAATAAGAGGTAGCCATTGCCATCAGGGGCAAAGTGAGAGTGTGTGAAGGATGGATGGCGAGGAGTGTAGCCGTGTGTGTGTGTGTGTAGGAAGGGGGGGGGGGTGCGTGTTGGGGAAATAATCAATGACCAGTGGTGAACAGGTAGGAAGCAGCATAGCAGAAAGGCAGCAAGGAGCTGATCAAATCCATGTTCGTGGTGATGAGGATTGGGTAGAAACCAACGGCTTGCGAGGCGAATTTTGTCAGGCAAAAAGGAGGAGGTGAGGGAGGAAACGAGGGGGGGGGAGAGGCGAAGCAGGCACTTTGTAGCCTTCCTCACCAACCTTACTCGGGGCACACTCGACGTGACCAAGGCCTTTCCCATCCCCCACCGCTTGCCACTACCCACCATCCAACCTTCCTCTCACTCCTTCGTACCATTCAAAGTCTTCTCAAAGTCCTCTCGTACCCCCTTGTCGTCACCACCCCCGTCACCCCCGCCACGTGTTGGTGTTCTTCCGAACGCGCCAAACGGACAGCGTTTGAGTCGGACACGGTTGGTGATCGTGGAAGCGAGCAAGGCAGTCAAGGCGAAGCAGGCAAGAGGCAGAGAGAGAGAGAGAGAGTAGCTGGACATGTCGCGCAAGTCGTGGGACGCTGTTGAGGCGTATTTGCTTGACGCTGTGGCGGTGCTCGAAGCCAAGGTCGCACCCGAGGTCCTGGCGCGCATCTCAAAGGACCGACGCGGCTCGTCGGCGTCGACCTTGTCATCAAGTTCGAGCTCGGGCGACTTTTTGTCTGCCGAGAACGGTGGTGAGGCTGCGTCGCCCAAGGTTGCGCTCGCCAAGCGGGTGCTGGACCTCGCCAACGCGATCGAGGGCCAGGAGATTGCGCAGCTGTACATGTTGCAGCTGGAGCAGGCACAGGCGTCGTACGAGGCCAAGCTAGAAGGGCTGACTCGCGAGATCCGCGCAATCGAGGCGCGGGCGGCTGCCGACGGCGTCGGGGCCAGCAGCGGCAGCGGGGTGGCAGGACCCGGCAGTGGCGGCGAGGCGCAGGCGTTGGTGGCAGCCAACGCGGCACTCGAGGCCAAGGTCCGCGAGCTGGACGAAGCCAAGCGCGAAGCCGAGGTGTGGCAGCCGGCGAATCTGGCGTCGTCGATCGGAGGCTACGTGTGGAACGCAACGGTCAAGGCGTTCGAGGTTGTGTCGTCGGCGACCCACCACCTCACACACAACCGCCGCTCGCGGCCCGGGGTGTACTCGGCGCTCGAGTCGGAGCAGATGCGGACGATACACGAGTACTACAAGCGGTACATTGCGCCGACGCTTCCGGAGCTGCTCGAGGTGACCGGTCCGGACTATGCATCGTCGGCGACGGCGTCGCCGCCCAAGCCGCGCACCTTTCACCTTCGTTCGTGGCAGCACAAGCTCGGCGACGGCTTCCTCCGTCCGCTGGCCAGGAGGCACTCGCGCACGTCTGCTCGTACCAGGTCGAGCGTCACGCCCGCATCGCCGGCGCCGGTTATCCCGACGACCCGACAAACTTGCTCCTCACCGAGCTCAAGACCTGGCTGGTGGCTGAGCTCTCGGTCGCGCCGCGCGACTCGCCGACCGCCGTCGACTCGCTCCGTAACCGTATCAAATTTCTCCGCGATCTCGTCAACGCGTCGATCTTCCCAGTTGGCACCACGTCGTCGATCCACCTCGTCACTGTCCTCAACTACGTCCTCTCGCTCCTCACAGAGGCGCACGCCGCGTTTGCGCCCGAGGCCCTCGAACGGGCCACGGTCGCCATCACCTTTTCTTCCCCGCCGACGCCGCCCTCGTCCGATGACGATGGCAGTGCCCCTCGGCGCCCCTCGCTCTCGGCCGCGAGAAGATCTTCCGTGTCGTCGTCGACCTCGCGCGAGTAGGCTGTTCTGTGCCACTCGCGTTCGTTTGCCTGTCGGCTTGAGTGGCAAGTAGCCAGCAAGCCGCGAACACACGTCGGAGCTGCCAGGAGAATGTCCGCGTCAGGCACAGGCCATGGCAATCGCACTCCGCCATAAAGCCCCCACGTCTGCTGCAAGCCGGGTACACACAAGTTGAGGCGGGTTCCTGACCCGGGCGGACCGGACCGTGACACGTACGCACCTCCAGGTCCATCTGGTCACGTGATCGAGCCGATTCGGCTATGTTGACAGCGGTTTATGACCATTTTGCGGGAAATGTTAGACCTTCATTGATAAGCCACACTCCCCTCCTCCCCGCACCACCACCATGGGATCCTGTGCCTCGACGCGAAAGCGGTCGAGTGTGGGGCCTTTGACAGCCAGCGTGGTCTTCTCACGGGAGCGAGGCTCAACCTTTCTCCCTGTAACATGTACGTTGGTCTTGGAGGTCAATGCCTGTCATGGGGCTTGTTTGAATCCGTCTTCCGCAGCCCGCCCCACGTTGACCAACGTCAGCCTTCTGTCTTTCGGCGGTGGTGGAGTCGGTGGTGTAGCAGCTACGGCTAGTGTGGGCCAAGATTGTTCCCCAACATACACCTACACGCATTGGTTTCCAGCCAGCAAGCATGTCTTGTCATCCTTGCCGTGTTATGTGGTAGAATGGCGTGTGGCGGCGGAGGTGGCGGCGTTACAACCCGGCTCGTTGGCAAGGCTGTGGTCAGGCGTGCGGCCATTTTCCCGCACCCTGCGGCGAGATATTTGAGGCCGTTGACTGTATCAGTAGCTGCCATACGAGTTTGACTACGTCACACCAACTGGCCGAAACACTCACATGAGCAATGTCGATGACCTTATTTTTGCCGGTAATAGCTCGCAATGTGTGGCCGGAGACCGGAGGATTCAGGCCGGAAGGCCGTCGGCGGAAGTTGTTTGTTACCAGGGTCAAGCAGTACAACTCGGATGTGGTTTGGTTCGAGGTGAGCCGGTCGTCGTCGATGTTGGGATCGGGCGATTCGTCGCTTGACTCTGGCGGCTCGAGCGTCTCGCGCAACTCGCGCGGCTCACGGCGACGGGCGGTTCTGAGCGAAAACGACTTGACTGTTCCCTCGACATGGTTTGTTACCGTGCATGTGAACATTGACGGCGGGCGCGAGCTGATCCGGACGGCGACGCCGATCTCGTCCGGGCCAAACCATATGACCTTTCTCATGCGGATCTTCCCCAACACCGAGATCGGCCGCTTCCTCAGCAATTTGCAGGTGGCGGACGAGGTCAGCGTCTACGGCCCGCTCCCATCGCGGGTGGCGTTCAGCGCCAATGACGGCATTGCGTCGCTAGTCACCTCGGCACGGGTCTCGCAGTCGGATCTGGCGCAGAGTGAGCAGGTCAACTTGAAGTGCTCGTCAGTGGTGCTTCTCGCACAGGGCACGGGCATCACCACCTTTGTGCAGCTCATCGAGCGGTCGCTGATGGCGACGTCGTCCAACGTGGTGATCCGGCTGGTGCATGTGGTCAAGACTGAAGCCGACTTTTTGCTCCAGCGCGAGCTGCGAATGCTTGCAGCGCAGGTGCCCGGCCGTCTGGTTGTGGTGCGTGTTGCTGAGCGGCTGGCCATGCCGATGCCTCGGGTAGTGGTGGGCAAGTTTGACGAGGACATGCTCGCGCGGGTCATCGAGCTCCCGCTCTCGAGCAATACGCTGGTCCTTGTCTCGGGCTCGCGGCGGTTCAACATGGAGTGCGGTCTGTGGCTGGCACGTTCGGGCGTTGCCTCTGACCGGGTCAGCCTCATCCCAGACTCTGAGCCGCTGATGTCGTTTGACAACTCGGTGCCGTCGGCGGATGCGCTCGTTGCCGCCGTTGCCGAGCAGGACTTGCCGCCGGCGCCCGCCAAGCCCAAGGAGGATCCCAGACCAGAGTGCTCCGCAGCTCCATCGCTTCCGATTATTTCCGCCTCAATGGTTGCGGCTCGCCAGGATTGGATTGTTGTCGACGGCTTTGTCATCGACATGGCTACCTTTAAGGACCGTCACCCGGGCGGACTGGAGACTTCCGGCAAGCGCGACGCGTCGGCCATGTTTCTCAACACATCGTCCGAGGCGCACAGCGAGCTGCTGAAGCTCGCGGTGGGCATTCTTGACGACGACGATGGTGCATCGGACATCCTTGCCGCCACAGTGACGACGCTTGACCCGCTCAAGTCGTCAAACTCTGTTGTTGAGCGCGGCTCGGAGAGAAGCGGTTCTTCGCTCAATTCATCGCGGGCACTTTCGGTCGACCTTGTTGTCCGGGTCGACGCCTTTAACCCTTCGCCTGCAGAGCTGCAACTCATCAACACCTCGCCCGCCGTCGAGCAACTGACGCCGGTCATCCGCACCCACCAGGCGACAAACTCGTCGTCGTCCTTTTCGCTCTTTGACTCGTCGTCGGAGCAGCGAGAGTATGCCACCACCCCCGACTCGGTCTACGTCGCCGCAGTGGCGACGACCCGCTCGTTTGGCCATGTATCATCAAGCGCAGTCGACATGCAATCGTCGTCAACAACGGCATCTTCTTCATCCTCCTCGTTTTCGTCGTCGTACTCGACGTCATCGCGCCGGGGCTCACTCCCACGGTCAGGCAGCAACGACGATCCGTCCGCTATGTGACTGCGCCCAGCTGATTCGGGGAGCTTCTCTTGGCAGGCCGAGACTGTGGCTAATGCTGCGGTTTGTAGATTAATACTTACTGATGTGTCTGCAGTCCTACACCGAAGGCGTGATGGCGTGACTTCGAAATGGCGTGGAGGCGTGACGGCCCACCGGCTGTCGGGCCAGACCAACTCTCTCGCTCCCCCTTTGTCCCCCTCTCGCCCCGCTGCCATGTCTGACAGCCCCCCACGTACAAGGGCGGCAGAGACAGAAAGCCCAGACCTCATTCCGACGACCCCTCCACCACCTCGTGCATGGGCTATGCTTCCGCGGATGGTGGCACTCGCGTGGCCGGTCGTCCTTGCCTACCTGCTGGAGATGATGATTCCGGTGACGGCACTGGCTGTGCTGGGCCATCTGGACTCGACCGAGGTGCTTGCCGGCGCTGCATTGGGCACCATGTTTGTCAATGTGACTGGTATGTCGCTTGGCTTTGGTCTCGCTACTGCTCTTGATACTCTCTGTTCGCAGGCTGTTGGGGCGAGGAAGCTCGCCCTCGTCGGCGTCCTCGCCCAGCGCGGCGCACTCGTCCTCATGGCCTTTGCTGCTGTCGTCATCTTGGGACTCTGGATCCACGCGGAGCGAATTCTCCTGGCACTGGGCCAAGGCGCGCCGCAGGCTGCTGTTGCTGGGCGATACATCCGGTATCTCATTCCATCGCTACCGGCGCTGCTGCTGGTAGAGGTGCTCAAGAAGGTCTGCTTTGCCCTGCAGATTGTCCGCCCGCAGATGGTCATCATGCTCTGCGTTAACGTGCTCAATGTGAGCGCGCAGGTTGTGGCCATCCATGTGCTCAAGATGCCGTACATTGCGGTGCCGATCATTATTTCGGTGACAAGCGTGGTGACGCTTGTGGCGCTGGGTGGATACCTCGCGGGCTCGGGTCATGTTGCGGCGATCTGGACCGGTTGGTCGAGCGAGGCCTTCCGCGACTGGGCGCCTTTTCTCCGGCTCGGCGTCCCGGGCCTTGCCATGCTCTGCCTCGAGTGGTGGGCGTTTGAGGTGCTTGCGCTCGAGGCCGGGCGGCTGTCGACGGCGGATCTTGCGGCTCAGGTCGTGGTCCTCAACATCGCCTCGCTTGCGTTCATGGTTCCGCTTGGTCAGTCGGTAGCGGTCTCGACGCTAGTGGGCAACTTTCTGGGCGCGGCGCAGCCTGGGCATGCCAAGCGCGCGGCGTACGCGGCGATGGTGTGTGTGCTTGCGACTGCGGTAACCGTCGGCTCGCTGCTCATTGGGCTGAGGTACCAGCTTGCGCGGGCTTACACCCGCAACGAGCATGTGGTCCAGCTAGTGGCACGCTCGCTCGTGGTTGTCGGATTTTTCCAGCTCTGCGACGGGACGCAGGCTGTGTGTTCGGGTGTCATCCGGGGGACCGGGCGGCAAGCCATCGGCGCGCTGGCCAACTTTCTGGGCTACATTGTGGTCGGCCTCCCGCTTGGCGCACTCCTGACGTTCAAGGTCGGCCTTGGTATCGAGGGCTTGTGGCTCGGGATGACCATTGGTCTCCTCATCACTTCGTCGTTCTTTGCCTCGCTCGTTCTCCGGCAGGACTGGCAGCTGTGGTCGGAGGTTGCGGTGCGACGGTCGAATGAGGCCGCGGCGGGGCTTGCCGGTCCAGGCTCCGACAGGAGCGGAAGCGAACTGGCGACCGCGCCGCTGCTGATCAACAGCGACGGGCGCGCGCGCGTGTCCGAGTCGGGCCCCGAGTCGCCGGCAGCGTTTGTCATCGACCTCGAGTTGCCAGACTCGATCGAGTCGGCCGAGTCGGTTTGACTCGTGCGCAGACTATGCGGAAGACAACGAACAGGCTGCTTGCAGCACGCTGACGAGCGCAAGCGGCCTGGTGTGGTTTTTGGGCGAGACGGTGACCGCGACAATAAAGCTCTTTGGTAGCTCAAGCGCAGGCGACAGAGGTTACATCATTTAGCAAGGTGAGCCGAGGCGAGATCATGCCTGCGCAAGCTGCTGGAGCTTGGCAGTGCGACGCGGGGTATCCGAGAACAGGGCGCGGATGAGGTGCTGAACTTCATGGCGCGAGAAGCCGGGCATGGCATCGAGGGTGATGGCGTCAAGGTCCATGCCCAGGAAGGTCTGCAGAGCTGAGAACCGTGTGAGGGCCGGGACGTACTTTGCGGCCGGCGCCGCCTCGCCGCCGTGGACAAACAGATGCGGGAGCGGGGCGGCGAGCGAGGCCATGAGGGCAACAAGCTGGTACGACTCAGCAGCGGCAATGTCGCGGAGAGTGAGAACGCCTGAGGTGACCTTGGAGAGGACGGCTTCAACAAGGACACCGACAGTGTGGAGGTAGAGCTGGCGCGGGAAGACGGCCCAGATGGTGGCGGCGTCCTGCAGGACGTGGACGACCGACTGGAGTGCGCCTTCAACAGCGTCAAACTTATCGTCGAGGTGGGTGCCACCGAATCCGTCGACCTGCCCGAGCGCCGCGGCCACGCGCTTGCGCGCGCGCATGACGGCTGCGGCGTAGACCGACTCGCCGAGCGAGCGGAAGAGCGGGACAAGGTCGACAAAGGTGGAGACGTGCGAGCCCGTGGCCTCTGCGAGCTTGGGCGCAAACTCGAACGAGAGCAGGAGACAGTGGTGCGCGAGGTACATGCAGTCGTTGTGGAAGAGGGCGGCAAAGGTCTCGTCGTTTTCCAGGCGCGACGCGTGGTAGGTGGGCATGAGTGCGCGAAAGAGGTCGAAGAGGTCGCGCGCGCCAGCCGCAAGCTGCCGTGCCGTTGTTGGCGACGCGCCCACAGCCTCGTCGAGAGTTTGCCACGCCATGGCCACCAGCGTCTGAGTCGAGCACGAGACGTGGCACGAGGGCATGACGATCAGGCCTGAGCCACCGACACCTGCACCGCCCTTTCCGCCCTTGCCGCCCTTCTTGGACGCAGCTGGCGCCGCACCCTTGACCTGGGCGTGGAATGGCGAGCGCTCCTCCTCAAACGCCACCACCACGGTGTTGCGGTCCAGCGAGAGCAGCAGCTCCCGCGCCATGACCACCAGCTCGCGGCGCTTGTTGGCGGCAAAGTGTGTGTCGATGTTGCGGACGTAGTCGCGAAGTTCCGACGTGGCACTCGCCACCAGACCCTTGTTGAGGACAAAGAGCTCAAAGGCTTCGACAGCGACCGCCACGTCGTCAAAGACCGTGAGCTCCTCCGTCGATGAAGGGACTGCCGGCGCAAGGACAGAGGCAATGATGCCCTGGACTAGCCGCGGCCAGACAAACTTGCCCATCCGCGCCATGTACCCGAGGTTGTTGCCGAAGAGCGCCTGCGAGATAAAGTCGATGGCTTCCTTGAGGGCGGCAATGAGGGCGGTGACTGTGTCGAGCGCCGAGGTTGGCGCGGCGTCGGCATCAGCGTCGGCATCACCATCAGCATCGACAGCGGCCGGCTCTAGCATGCCGCGAAGGTTGGCCATCACGCCGCTGATCTTGGCCGTGACCGTAAACGTTGTCGGGTTTGCCAGCAGCGGATCGAGAATGGTCTCAAACAGCTTGTTTGCCACCCACTCGAGCTTGTCGTCAAATGCGTCGAGAGTGGCGAGAGCGTCGAGAACGGCTGAGAGTGCAACCGGCGCGTCCGAGCCCGAGGCCGAGGCGATGGGCGCCAGCCGGCGGGTGAGGGTGACTGCGTGCAACGACGGCGTCTTGCCGGCGCTCAGCGCCTGTGGGTCGTCGAAGCGGACGCCGCGCTTAAAGAGCTCGGCAACACGTGCCTCGAGCTTGACCGCCAGCCGGAGGTAGTGGGCCTCGAGGATGGCAAAGATGCGCGCGTCGACGAGGACGCCCGACTCGAGGCGGACCCGGTCCATGAGCACACCGAGCGCGGCAGAGGCCTCGGCGGCGTCGGCGTAGTTGCCGGCGGCGAGGGCTGAGTCAAGGCTTTCGAGGAGAGCATGAGCGGCGGCTAGCGTCTCGAGGACGTCGACCATGGCAGCAGCAGCAGCGACTTCGTCCGACGCGCCGCGGGCTGCACCGTGAGCTGCAGCGAGGGCGGCGGCGCCGTCGTCGGGCCCGGGCGCGCCAGTCTCTGCACCTACCACTCGCTGCAAATCGGCCACAACAGCAGCAAGCTCAGCCACATCAGCCGAGAGATCAGCGGTGTAGTTGAGCGTCGTCACAAACTCGGCGTAGTGTGCATTGACCGTAGCGTAGACCTTGGCCTTGACCTCTTCCGTCCGTGCGGCCAGAGCCTCAAGGCTCGCACCCGCGCCCGTCACTCCCCCGCCAATTGCCGCCACAACTTCGGCAGCCATAGTGTATGTGTATGAGTGGCGTGTGGAGAGAGGTGTGCGCCCAGGGAATGGCCAAGGTGCGTGCAAGCGGTGTCTTGATGGCGTGTGCGAGAGGGGGAGTGTCTGGTTTGGCGCCAAATGGTCAAATGCCATGGATGCGCGCGTATGGCTGTCACCCGCACCCGAACAGCATCGTCATTGGGCTTGTGGGCTGCGTACGTGCTGTCGATGACTATCATATCTAGTGGTTGGCATATGTACGGGCTGAATGGTGTATGGGGGCATGGATATGCTCGACGATGGAGTTTATTGGCCGGAAGGTGTTGTAGTGCGCCTCTGAGTCAAGCACCCCTACCCTACACAATGCAATTGCTATGCCACCATCATAGGTACCCATAACCATCACAAACCGAGATCCACAACTGCATGTGCACAGAGCTAGCATACGTGGGCTATACCTCTTATCCCCCCCCCCCCCCCCACGCCCTCGCTTCTCCCATCAGAGCGAACCGAGTCGAGCGACGAAAAGGCCGAAACCACGACGACTTGCGGTCGTACAGTTGTCACTCTCACAGCTAGCCGCCCCTCTCTCTCGTCAAGGTCACCATGCTGCGGCTGTCGTCCACGCTCGCACGATTGGGTATGCCTCCCTTCCCTTCCCTTCCCTTCCCGCCCTCCCCCCTCCCCTCCCCAACGTCCCCCTCCCTCCCTCCCTCCCCTCCCCCCCCCCCCCCCCCCTTCCACCCCTTCCCTGGATGCCCTCCCACTCACACCCGCTCCTCCCCCTCGGTACACAGCCACCGCCGTGCCGACGCTGACCCCTGCGGGCTGCTCGGCCCTCCTCCGCCTTCCCTCTGCATCCCTCCACACTTCCACAGACTCTTCCGGTACGCCATACCCTTCTCGTTCGCCCCCCCTGCCCCTTCACCCTCCTTCCCGTCCACCCCCCTCTTCCCCCCCCCCTGTATCGTCCCTCCCCCCTCGCCCCCCCCTCGCCCCCCCCCCCCCCCCGGCCGCTGCCCTTTGGCTGACGTCCAAATTTTTGCTCTCCACACACCGCCGCCTCCCCCTCCCCCTCCCCCCCCCCCCTTCCCCCCTTCCCTTCCCCCGCCCTCCGCACACCCCTTCTTCCTGCTTTGTGCTATGATGGAGAGACTCACAAGGAGAATGCGTTTTGTGGTCAGAGCCTGCTGCTGCTGAGTCTGCCCCTGTGGCCGGTGCTGGCACGCAGGGCGCCGTGGCTGGCCCGTCGTCGTCGGCCCTCGTCGCTGGCACACCGCCGTCCAACAAGGGCGAGTACGTGGTGGCCAAGCTTGACGATCTCGTCAACTGGGCTCGGAAGGGCTCGATCTGGCCCATGACTTTCGGTCTTGCCTGCTGCGCTGTGGAGATGATGCAGTGCGCCGCCGCACGGTATGACGTCGATCGGTTCGGGATCATCTTCCGCCCCTCGCCTCGTCAGTCCGACTGCATGATCGTTGCCGGCACGCTCACCAACAAGATGGCACCGGCGCTGCGCAAGGTTTACGACCAGATGCCCGAGCCGCGGTGGGTCGTCTCCATGGGCTCGTGCGCCAACGGTGGTGGCTACTACCACTACTCGTACGCCGTCGTCCGCGGCTGCGACCGCATCGTTCCCGTCGACGTCTACGTCCCGGGCTGCCCGCCTACCGCAGAGGGCCTCATGTACGGCCTTCTTGTCCTCCAGAAGAAGGTTGCCCGCTCCCAGGGTCTTTCTGCCTGGTACCGTAAGTGAGTGAACACAGTCTTGGACCGGCCTTCCCCCACCGCCCTTAGCCATCACCCCACCATGCAAGGGCCAGACAACGTAGATCAAACCCCTTTGAAGCAATCGAACCAATGGCTAACCATGATTCACTCTTTCCTGTCATGGCCCATCTTGCCGCCTCCTTGCCCTCGTGATCACACGTGGGGAGGGAGGGGGGGGGGGGGAGAGGAGGCACACTCCAGCGAAACCACGAGACCGACGAGACCACGAGACAACCACCAAGAGAAGGAGGAGGAGGAGGGAGCAAAGTCCAGCACCCAACTCTGTGGCCAGGCCACTCCACATCTCCACCACCATGAGCTCATCCGAGCGTACGTACCCCCCTCGACATAGTTGGCATTGATGTACGCCTCAGCTTGCATGGCCTCCAGCTCGGCCAGCGAGGTTTGCGGAAAGTCCGAACCTGGTGGCGGAGTCATCGCCATGTGCGCCGGCGAGGGAATGGGAAGGCCGGGCAGTCCGAGCTTGACGTTGGTCATTTCCACTGGAATGATGTCCAGATATCTATTCTTGAACAGAATGGGCTTGGTTAGCTTGACCAGAGGCCGCTTCTCCTTCCGCTCCAGCTTGGCCAAGTGTTCGTACTCCTTGATAAATCCGATGCCACTCCCATGTGCCGTCATGTGCTTCTTGTACTTGGCAAACTGTGCGCGGACAAAGTGCAGCCGCTGCCAGAGCAGTGCCTCTGAGCCAGCAGCCTCCACCAGTCCCGCCAGTTCCAGCACTCCGTCATCAGTCCCTATCCCTCACATCCAAGCATAAGTACATACATGAGAGTATACGGTGAGTTGTAGTTGTAGTTGTAGTTGTAGTTGTAGTTGTAGTTGGGGGGGGGGGGACTACAACTACAACTCACCGTATACTCTCATGTATGTACTTATGCTTGGATGTGAGGGATAGGGACTGATGACGGAGTGCTGGAACTGGCGGGACTGGTGGAGGCTGCTGGCTCAGAGGCACTGCTCTGGCAGCGGCTGCACTTTGTCCGCGCACAGTTTGCCAAGTACAAGAAGCACATGACGGCACATGGGAGTGGCATCGGATTTATCAAGGAGTACGAACACTTGGCCAAGCTGGAGCGGAAGGAGAAGCGGCCTCTGGTCAAGCTAACCAAGCCCATTCTGTTCAAGAATAGATATCTGGACATCATTCCAGTGGAAATGACCAACGTCAAGCTCGGACTGCCCGGCCTTCCCATTCCCTCGCCGGCGCACATGGCGATGACTCCGCCACCAGGTTCGGACTTTCCGCAAACCTCGCTGGCCGAGCTGGAGGCCATGCAAGCTGAGGCGTACATCAATGCCAACTATGTCGAGCTGTGGACCGAGCTGACGTACGTGGCGGCGCAGGGCCCACTGCCCAACACCGTGCTCGACTTTTGGAAGATGGTATGGCAGCAAGACTCAGCCATGATTGTCATGCTCACCAATCTCATCGAGCGCGGCATCGAAAAGTGCCATCGGTACTGGCCGTCATCCTCCAACGACCGCTCGGGCTCGCTCGCCCTCCCCGCCCGCGACAACGACGAAGAGGCGGCGCTGTATGCCGTCGACGTCGGCCCGTTTGTGGTTGAGCTCCTCTCGCAAGAAGCCTCCCAAGACTACACCCTCCGCCGACTGCGCATGACGCACATCGAGTCGGGCGTGGTCAAGCCGGTCCTCCAGGCCCATTACACCGCCTGGCCCGACCAGGGCATCCCTGACCCGGAGCCGTTTGCTCGGTTCTGCAACGTCATCGACTCGAAGCTTGCGGCGCTCAAACCTGCGCCTCTTATTGTCCACTGCTCGGCTGGCGTGGGGCGCACAGGCGTTTTTGTTGCCTGCCACAACATCCTGCAGCACATGCGCAACTACCTTATCTCAGGCTCGTCCAAGATGGCCTTCCTCTTTGACGTCATGGGCACTGTCCGCCGCATGCGGCAGCACAGACCGTTTATGGTCCAGAACGCTGACCAGTATCGCTTCGTCTACCTCTATCTCTGTGCTCAGATCGAGGCCTTCTTTGACTCTGCTGCCGTCTCGGAGTTTCTGGCAACCGCACCGCCCGGTGCCTCGCTGCCTGTCGAGCAGGAGGAGACCGACGCGTCGTCATCACTTGCCGCCGACGATGAGACCGACTATGTGTACGAAGATGACGACCTGGCCAGCGCTGTTGCCTATGTCACGGGCCCTTTTGCCCACAACGAGTAGCTGCTCTGTGCACATTCATTCGGTAAACGTAATCGTCATGGATGACGAGAGCGAGATAACATCGTCGGCTGGCGATGAAAACTGGTCGATGCGCGGCCGGCGCCGGCGTCTGGCCGACACAGTCTGTGACGACGCGACATCACCCACTACGACCTTGGCGCTGCCAGCCGCGACAGAGACCGAAAACGAGGTCTCATGCTGGCCTGTCGGCTCGTCGACTGGCCGCCGACGCAGGGTGGCGTGCAGCGGGGAGCTGGCGGCAAAGATGCCCGACTGCGACGAGGCCACAGAAAGCGTCTCTTCAAAGTCATGAGTCGGTTCGTCGCGCGGGCGGCGGCGCGGCTGCGTCGCCGGTACAAAAGCGGAAGCAAAACGAGCCACTGGGGCATGGGCATGGGGCACAACTACGGCCGCGTCCTGATGGACGCCCAAAATGCTTGCCTCGTCGGCAACAGCGCCGACGACGTCTGTGGCGTCGTCCACGACCGGGACATCGCGCGGACGGCGGAGTCGCGTCGTAGGCACGGTTACAGCACCAACAGCTTCAGTATGGGTGCGCGTTTCGGTAGTAGCAGCGACACAGGCAGGCTCAGTGAGCGAATCACTCACCTCGATGACGTCCGCGTCACTGGCGGCCAATTCGTCGCGCGGCACACGGCGGCGCGCTGAGCGGCGGCGAGTGACGTTGGCTGACTGCAAATCGGCAAATCGACGGGATGTGCGCTGAGGGGCATCCGCCTCGATGAGAGGATCCAGTTCGGATTGGGACGGCAACGCCGCAGGGACGCCAACAGGCTCTGTCGCAGCGTCGACGGGAGCGTCGACTGCGACGATGTCCCGCGGCAGACGCCGCCCAGGGCGGGTTCGCCGCAGCGGGCGGGTTGGGAGTGAAGCTGGGTTCGGAGTCATCACCATCGGCGGTACGTGCGCCACATGAGCATGAGGAGACGGATGCAGCGTAGCCGGTGGGTACAAGTGCGGCGAAGCCGGCGCATGAAGGAGTGGCCCGTGAGCAAGCGGGTGGGTGGCGGCCAAAGGCGGAGCATGCACTGGCTTTCTCTGGCCGGCTTCCTGGTCTTTCAAGTGCCTGGACGAGGTTACCGGGGCAGGCTTCACAAACACCACGTCTGGAACCTCGAGGTACGCCTCTGGAATCTTTGCGGGCTCGTGGCGATGCCGGCGGAGACGCGACGGGCGTCGGGGGGGCGGTGTCAGGGGAGCAAACGTAGACTCTTCGTCAGATTCGCTCGCGACAACACAGTCGAGGTCAGCTGTCGAGCCTGGAAGGGCAGCACCATCAACGCCGTTGTTGCCATCAGAGAGCTCTGCATCGGCATGCGGTACACGGCGGCGGAAAGCCACAGATTCAGGCTGGTAGCAAGATGATTCGTCTGATACGGTCGACTCGGGAGAAAGGCGTCGCTGCGGACGGCGGAGAGCGACCGCATCAGTGGTGTAAAGTGACATCGAGCTGTCGTGATCATCACCAGTCAATCCTCGCGGAGACGACGGTGGCGGCTTGCGCGCGATGACATCCGAGCCGTAGTGCGACGCCTCGAACGGAGAGTCGGCCTCTGACTCGGTGTACGAGCTCGAACTTGAGTACAAACTCGACGACGAGGACGACGCGGATGTAGGAGAAGAAGGGGACAACATCCGAGTAGGACGTGAACGGTAGGCAACGCTGTCCGTGCCAGCGTAAAAGGAGAGTTCAGACGTCGGAGACAATGACGAGCGCGTCGACGACGAGCGCGGCTTGAATCCGGCGGCGTCCTTCGAGTAGGACGACGGCGATGGCTCGTGCCCCGACGACGAGCGCATGGATGACGAGCGCGGCTTGAATCCGGCGGCGTCCTTAGAGTAGGACGACGGCGGTGGCTCGTGCTCCGACGACGAGTGCGTGGATGACGAGTGCGTGGATGACGAACGCGGCTTGAATCCGGCGGCGTCCTTCGAGTAGGACGACGGCGATGGCTCGTGCCCCGACGACGAGCGCATGGATGACGAGCGCGGCTTGAATCCAGCGGCGTCCTTAGAGTAGGACGACGGCGATGGCTCGTGCCCCGACGACGAGCGCATGGATGACGAGCGCGGCTTGAATCCAGCGGCGTCCTTAGAGTAGGACGACGGCGATGGCTCGTGCTCCGACGACGAGCGCGTGGATGACGAGCGCGTCGACGACGAGCGCGGCTTGAATCCAGCGGCGTCCTTAGAGTAGGACGACGGCGATGGCTCGTGCTCCGACGACGAGCGCGTGGATGACGAGCGCGGCTTGAATCCGGCGGCGTCCTTCGAGTAGGACGACGGCGATGGCTCGTGCTCCGACGACGAGCGCATGGATGACGAGCGCGGCTTGAATCCAGCGGCGTCCTTAGAGTAGGACGACGGCGATGGCTCGTGCTCCGACGACGAGCGCGTGGATGACGAGCGCGTCGACGACGAGCGCGGCTTGAATCCGGCGGCGTCCTTCGAGTAGGACGACGGCGAAGGCTCGTGCTCCGACGACGAGCGCGTGGATGACGAGCGCGGCTTGAATCCGGCGGCGTCCTTCGAGTAGGACGACGGCGATGGCTCGTGCTCCGACGACGAGCGCATGGATGACGAGCGCGGCTTGAATCCAGCGGCGTCCTTAGAGTAGGACGACGGCGATGGCTCGTGCTCCGACGACGAGCGCGTGGATGACGAGCGCGTCGACGACGAGCGCGGCTTGAATCCGGCGGCGTCCTTCGAGTAGGACGACGGCTGCGACTCGGTCCCAGCAGCCCCGGAGCGGGAATGGAAGCCAGCAGCATCATTCGAGTAGGACGACGGCTGCGACTCGCCGGAGTAGCCCTTGAACCCGGCACCATCCGTAGAGTAGGACGACGGTCGCGACTCGCCAGACCGGCCCTTGAAGCCAGCAGCATCCGTAGAGTAGGACGACCGCTGCGACTCGTCGGAGTGGCCCTTGAACCCAGCACCATCGGTAGAGTAGGACGACGGCTGCGACTCGATCCCAGCAGTCCCGGAGCGGGCATGGAAGCCAGCACCATCCGTAGAGTAGGACGACCGCTGCGACTCGTCGGAGTGACCCTTGAACCCGGTACCATCCGTAGAGTAGGACGACGGCTGCGACTCGCCAGACCGGCCCTTGAATCCGGTACCATCCGTAGAGTAGGACGACCGCTGCGACTCGGTCCCAGCAATCCCGGAGCGGGGATGGAAGCCAGCAGCATCCGTAGAGTAGGACGACCGCTGCGACTCGTCGGAGTGGCCCTTGAACCCGGCACCGTCCGTAGAGTAGGACGACGGCTGCGACTCGCCAGACCGGCCCTTGAAGCCAGCGCCATCCGTAGAGTATGAAGACGGCTGCGACTCGATCCCAGCAGCCCCGGACGGCCCTTGAACCCGGCACCATCCGTAGAGTAGGACGACTGTCGCGACTCGTCGGAGTGACCCTTGAATCCGGTACCATCCGTAGAGTAGGACGACGGCTGTGACTCGTCGGACCGGGCCTTGAAGCCAGCAGCATCCGTAGAGTAGGACGACGGCTGCGACTCGGTCCCAGCAGCCCCGGAGCAGGGATGGAAGCCAGCAGCATCCGTAGAGTAGGACGACCGCTGCGACTCGTCGGAGTGGCCCTTGAACCCGGCGCCATCGATAGAGTAGGACGACGGCTGCGACTCGCCGGAGTAGCCCTTGAACCCGGCACCATCCGTAGAGTAGGACGACGGTCGCGACTC